GTATAACCCAGACACCCCACACCTCAGACACCCCAGGCACACACACACACACACACACACACACACACACACACACACACACACACACACACACACACACACACACACACACACACACACACACACACACCACACACACACACACACACACACACACACACACACACACACACACACACACACACACACACACACACACACACACACACACACACACACACACACACACACACACACACACACACACACACACACACGCACGCACGCACGCACGCACGCACGCACGCACGCACGCACGCACGCACGCACGCACGCACGCACGCACGCACGCACACACACACACACACACACACACACACACACGTAAAGAGAGCCAAAATGATACACACTATACAGAGTGGTGGTCAAGAACTGAGAATTTCAACTGTGATTTCTATTCCCTGGCCAACTTAAATATATAGTACCACCAACTTCTTTATCATTATAACCAAATAGCTAGTATGATGCAGTTTCCCTTATCCTTCTCACTGTTTTCATGTCATGTACAATGTTTATATTAACTTTACTTGAAGAAGCAAAAAAATCATTGCTTCTGGAGTAAATTTGGTAGTTATACGAGTACATTTGGTGACTGACATTGGTGGCATAATGTGTAACTTTTCATCCTTTTACTCACTTCCACTACACTTCATCATGTTCAAAGTAAATGACCTTTCTACACAGTTTCAATGATTACTTAAACAAACTTAATATTACAAATTTCATTTCCTTTCAACAAAACAAAAAGAGGGGACCTGTAACAAACAAGATTGATGATACAAAAATGACTTTTGTACTGTACAGTACAAGATGACATGGAGTAATGGAGTATTTTGGAATGGAAGGTCTGTATATTAGGTTCCTGTACACTGGAATAACTCCACTCCAAAATACTCTAAACTTAATCATAAATGACAAATGGTGTAAATGGCCAACTGCAGGATCTTGCCACAGAGATTGATACATGTAGGGTTGATCGAGTTGAAATAAGGATGACGAGATTAATATGTAATGTGGCACTAAAAGATAGGAAATCTTGTTCCTCTTTCAAGCTAAGATAGTGACTGGGTATCAAGAGTATTGGCGAGGTTTTGCATAGATGGAGGCCTAGATGGCTTAATCTGTGGAAAGAATGGAGGAAATCAATTGGGTCAAGAGATGCACGAGTTGGAAATTTAATGGGTAGGCCAAGAATGACACAGGGAGAGGTTGTAATAAATGACATCAAGAGATAAGAACCCGATGAGGGAGGCTGCAAGAGACTGTGCAGCATGGAGAGCTATCAATAGGTAATCATAGTTAACCCACGCATGTGTGGAAATGACTATAAAACAATGATGATGAGTTCCCACACTGTAAAAGTGGGTTGGTGATGGAAGGTCTTCCAGCCATAAAAGTTGCTTCAAATTGGCCCTTTAGTCAATTAGGACACCAAGTCATCCAGCAATCACAGCTAACCCACACAAGCATGAAGAATGGCTAAAAGTGCCCAAAAGTTTAAGAACAAAAGCATGAAAAGCAATAAGGAGAAGTGGAAACAATAATATTATAAGTGAGATGGGGGTGTGAGTCAGGCTGTAAGCTAGTGTCAGAATGGTACGATGCCACATGTGGATGGAATCATTGTAGAAATGTTAATTATGAAGTGGAAAATGAAAGAATATGTGATGTGAGTAAACAGGGTGTGAATGAAGAAAGAAAAACACCAAAGAATGAAATAGTTCAAGTAGAGTTCCCCTAAAGAAAGAGAAGATAAGAATTTATACAACAATTACAGAGGAATAAGTTTCTTAAGCAAGCCAGGAAAAGTGTATGGTTGAGACATCACTGAGAGGATCATGGCATACACAAAACATATTAGGAAAAGAGCAGTATGGCTTCAGACAAAGGAGAGGCTTTATGGATTAAGAGTTTGTATTTAGGAGCATGAGAGAAAAGTATTTGAATGAAGAAAAGCAATTAATGGAGCTCAAGAAAAAAACCCAAGTTTTTGGAAAAGCAACATGGAAGGAGCTGAAAATGTATGGGGTAAAAGAGAAAGTGTTCAATGTCATCCACAGATTTTATAGGGAGAGGAGTGGAGTGTCAGAAATATAGAAACTGGTTTTTGGTGAAAGGAAAGACTACCGGTATGTCAAGGATGAGTTACGTCTCTATAGGGGCTCATTACCTTCATGGATGGGGTTATGAGACAGGTAAAAGCAAGAGTATTGGAAGTTTTGTAAATAAACAGTGAGAAGGGATGGAAATGGTAGGTAAATCAACTGCTATCTGGAGGTGAGACTCATCTAGTGGGCTACTGTGTTATACAATAAGAGTTTGCTTGTAAATATTGTTCATACTCATGTTGTAGTACATTATAACTTTGGTAAGTCCCAATACCATGTAATATCGAACAAACAATCAATCAATCAATTTAGAAAAGTTAAAAGTGCAAGTAATTAAGTTTGGAAGAGTGTATACTTGGAGAGATTTAATCATGAATGTAAAGAAAAGTAATAAGATGAAAATAAATGGGGAAGGAAGACAGGGAGGAGTGATTATTAAGTTGATTGTTAGACAAATTCAGGAAGTGAGGTACTTTGATGAATGGAACAATGTGTGATGAACAGAATAACTGAGTCGGAGCATTTATTTAATTCACAAACAGGGATATCCATGATGCCTGTCCTCCATGCCAAAGGTAGCCCTCCCCACCAGTCTTACAGGGCAGCCCCTCCCTCTCTACACCCTCATTTCCTAACTTCAAGGAGAATTACAGCTGAATAGTACACTTAATCAGCCCAAACATAGGCTAAACAGCTTTAGAAGAAAAACACTGCTATTGGTGGTCAGAGTACAAAGGAGTTGGAACAAAAAAAAATTCAACTACTATTTTTTCAACTTTACAATGTATGTAAAGAGCTGCGGAAGGATCTCTGTGAGCTCCAAGAATGGCCGAAGAAATGCCTGCTGAGATTCAATGTCACGAAGTGCAAGAGGATGCACCTAGGGCGCATCAACGGTAAGGAAGCGTATCATTTGTCCCAACGAGACGAAGAAACTGCACTATTTGAGACTGGATGTGAGAAGGACCTAGGTGTGTATGTTGACAATGAGCTGAAGTTCTTGGGCCATAGCGAGAAGAAGGTAAATCAAGCAAGTAAATTATTAGGTCTTACAAGAAGGTCATTCATATATATAGACGGTCCGTCCCTCTTCACGATCTTCAAGAGTGAAGTGCTTCCCCATCTAGAATACTGTCACCCCATCTGGTCCCCGAGATATACTAGGGAGTGTCAGTTGATTGAAAATGTTCAAAGGAGGGCCACCAGACTGGTGCCTGCACTGAGAGATTGGAGCGCCTGAACTTGCCTAGCCTATACTACAGACGGGCAAGGGGTGACCTAATTGAGGTGTACTGTAAAAGCATCTCAAGGGGCACTACTCAATCGGGTGTCCTTACCTGGAGCTGGCAGATGCTCGTCCCACAAGGGGTCACAGCTCAAGGTTGAAGAAGCAGCAGGTCCAGAAAACTGTGAGGGCAAACTTTTTCGGAGTGAGAGTTGTGAACTCTTGGAACAATCTGCCAGAAAGTGTTGTGACGGCATTGAGTGCGAGCTCTTTCAAGCCCAAACTTGACCAACACTGGAGCAGGTTCAAGTACATTCAGGAGCCGGGGCATGCCCAGTACTTGCCAACAGTGCGTAACAGAGACGTGACTGTTCGCCCAAGCAGCTAACGAGCCGATCAGTGGTGAAGAGGATAAAAGTAAGTAAAAAGACTCAAGAGTAGTTTAGTCAATCAACCCTAAATCTGAAGACACAAGACAAATTGCTAGACATACAAACACACAGACAGCATGATTGTTATATCCACTTACTCTTCAAATGAAGGGAACAAAAAGCATAAAGCAGGCTGAGGACACAATACAATTGCCATTATACTATTTGAGAAACTGCAAGAATCCATTTGACTTTAATAACAAAGCTCAAATTATTCATGAAGAGTTTCGATGAAAATGGTCCATCTATCCGGTCAAAATTCAACCATCAATACCTTGTACATACATTCATCCATACATGAATGGAGACGGAAACGAACAAAAGATCTTCCATATTCTGGCACTGTTAACTGAAGCATACAAACACCATACTGAAAGCGAGTCACATTACCAGTGGGGACTTCACATTAATTTGTTATGGGGACGCCACACTGCACATCAAACTTACTATGGCCGAAACGACTGTATTTTTAAAATCATACCGAAGATGATATCATATTGAGAGTTTCACTACTGAGGGAACCACAATAGCGTAAGGAGGGTAATAGCTTAGCATACTGAGGGCACCATCATACAGTGGGCAACAAGCCGAAGAAATACTAGCTATACAGTACATTAAAGCAACAAGAACACTATTGCTAGAAAAGAAATCCTCTGTCGCCATAGATACACAATACCAAGGGGAGCAAACTTACTCTAGATGCCAAGCTGTGAAGGGAGCCACAATACGGCAGGTGCCAATTTGTAAAGAGCATTGTACTAGTGGAGGACAATTTTGCAGGACTAAAAAGTTATCCTCTTGAGAGCAATAGGTTCCAGCATAATACAGTAAATGATTCCAATAAATCAAAATTTTGTGACCTTAATATTCTTATACTCTACGCACCACCATTTTACTCTTCATTAACAACAAAGCAAATTTTACAGACTGAGGTGCAATCTACTGGACATAATAGCTGCCAAACATTCCTAATGGGGTGAAGTATATCCATGTTCTTCTAGATTTACTATTACAACACCCCATCACACCTAAATAAAGACAAAATCCCAATATTTTCATAAAACACATTAAGTGGTTAATTTCTAGAAGCAACAATAGCTACGTCTTTATTAGTACACACGAATCATGGGACAGTGAAAAAAGAACGAATCTCAGCTCAATTAAGAACAAACGAACACGAAGGAATACAGTACTTACTTTGACAGGTGTTTGCGAGCAGAAGGCAGAGTGGCGAGTTCCTCTTTCATGACATACCGCTTTGTGCCTAGACAGTACTGTTCCATGTAAGTGGGCCAGTGCAGGGCTGAGAGGGCAAAATTGAATGTGTGTTGATCAGCCTCAGATAAGGTTGACCACAGATGTTGCACGTTGTCATTACAGAAGCACCACTCGTGTGTAGTGAAGTACTCTAAACATGCAGCAGCACGGTCAAGCTTCTGGGCAATCCTCACCATGCTGTGGGTCAACAAGAGATACACTTACTAAGGATAAACTCTGACAAAATACTTGAGAATAAGACATTGTTCAGTACTTTATAAACATCATCTATGTATGAGAAAAAATCTGAAGACTATTTTTCAGCCTTACATGATTAAAAATGAGAAGTATTATCTCCGTTAGCCGGAATCCCTTAACCCGGAACTCTCCGATATCCGGAATTGAAATTTTCTCGGAAAATCGTTCCCAAAGCCGGATTTTCCAAGGGGCACATTTTCAGGAAAATTCCAAGAAAATTTTCAAGATACCCGGAAAATTCCGGAGATGAGGGATATATTTTACAGCTTTGAGAGAGTCGTCTCGGTTCCCGGAAATCTCTCATTCCCGGAAGTGCTCTGCACCAATTGTTTCGGCTAACGGAGATATCACTGTAATATTAGACTTCACTATTTCTGATCCATTATTTTCAATTCAAATTCCATTTCTTTTAAGAGAAACCATATATTTATATTTTTTTTAAGGTGATTCCGTAAAAACTCGTGTGTAGTTCGAGTTTTTAAGACCAAATTTTTAGGCAAAAAATTGGGGGTCGACCTCTACATGGGTAATAGTTTTGTTAGGTTGAATCCGTGCATGATGGGAAGGGCGAGGAGCAACTGTTAGCTTCAGACATGAAAAATATTTATCATTTACTACCAGTAAACAATGGAAACGTAAAATATGTACCAATTAGTAATGATAAGCTGTGCAGTTCCTTCAGCAGATGAAGCTCACCAACTTACAATTGGCTAAATTACCTTACAACATGCTTTCAGTAGTCTATGTTGAAGTTCTTAGCACAGGCTAACTTATCATATCATATACGGTATCACAGTACCCATTGATCTACAAAAAATACCAGAAATAAAAACCTTTTCGATATTTCACACTTAATATAATACGCAGTAATCCACCTCAACCTCATATTATTTACAACGATGCACGACGCACCACCAGCTGTTGAGTATCAGCTAGACGGTACACGTGTTTTTCGAATCGTTTTCAGTTAAAAAACTGTTACATCACACGTATATTTTACATTAACTGTGCTTGAATGAATATATTCTCGGAAATAAATGGTAATTTTGCTGAAACGTGATGTATTTCAGTGTAAAATAGGATAAAATACATGACGAAAACAAAAGACTTTACCTAACCTTCCGATGTTCAAGAGATGTTACTCATTTTTTTTCATAGTTTTCGGTTAAAATACTGTTATATTACAATGACATTCAATTCATACTGTGCTTGATATAATGCATTCACGGAAATGTAATATTTTTTCTGAAATGACGTACGTATTACAGTGGAAAGTGGGATAAAACCATGACGAAAACAATCGACTTTTGCTTTCTTTCGTTGTTCAAAAGATGTTACCGTAATCGCTTTTCGAATGGTTTTCAGTTAAAAAAACTGTTGTATTACAATAATATTCCCTCCTAATTGACTTGAATAAATACTTGAATGGAAATGTACAATATTTTTGCTGAAACTACCCGCGTTCAGTGTAAAGTGTCGTAATAATGGTAAACAATTTGCCTTTGGGGCTCGGTGTTTCAGGCACGGCGACCCTCAGTTTATAGGACGTAGAGTGTTCTTAGTGAAGGTTTTGCTGTTCCATTACCCTCAAAAACTTGGGTCGACCTATAAACGAGGCATATCATAAATTAATGACTTCTTGGTAAAAAAAATCAGGGTCGACTTATAAACGAGGTAGAATTATAGACGAGTATATACGGTATGCAAAGAGATAAACATATTCTTCAGCAAAAGTTCTTGGGGATTATACATGCATCACTGTACTGTACTCAGAATGATGGAAATGAAGAGAACAAATTAAATACAGACATTTCCTGGTTTATGAAGAACAAGTTTAAAATCCTAGAGTTACAAAAAAAAATTAGTTTCATGGTTAACTAAGGTAAATATATAGAGTAACATACAGTGGTTAAGTTATCATGGCTCATAGGACCATTATGTGAAGCAGTGACCAGACACAGAGTCAAGGCATTGTGACTGTAGGAAAACTGATGTGTTTAGTAGCCCACAGTTTGATCTGATGCCAAGAGAAAGAATAAAATGTCAAGATGGATAAGTTAATATTTCTTCTTCATATAAAACCTCATCAAATATAAAATACAGTGAAAGCATAAAATCTCAAAATGTATATACTGTACAGTGATCCCTCGGTTAACGAAATTTCGGTTAACGAATTTCTTAAGAATTTTTCCCAAAATGTTTTTGCCTGCTTTCACCTGCTCACCAGCTGTAGTATTAGTCCACCAATAGAGTAATCGGTTTTAGGGCTTAAATTCGTTACCATTTTAACATAATTCACTGAAGTCACTGATGTGGCTAAGGATACTGGGTTAGTTTAAAAAATCATCTGATGCATTTCTGGACACTTGAAAGTAGCTTCATCATTCATACAATTAGCATTTTATAGTAGGGAGAGAACCCATAGTGTAAAGGCTGCATTTTTGCAGAAAAATAACTTTCCTGGAGTTTGCAAAACTTATTGAGTTGGAGGGAGATGAAAATGGTGAAATTGGGTTTCATAAAACCAACTGCCCATTAATGTTGTGTCTATTAAGCCTTCGGTACACATGAAGGCAGTGTGGTTGGTATTGGACTTGACTGCCTTCACTTTTCCAACACTAAAGTTAGGTACCCATTTATAGCTGGGTGCACTGGGAGTTCCCTGGGCACACAACAGGGACACTTAGGCCAGAAGGCAAGTGCTGTGTCCCCTGAAGTAAGGGCAAGAAATCTGTAAGAACTAGAGATGCATCTGTTGACATAGATGCTCCCACATTATTTGTCAAAGGGACATACAGTACTGTAAATGTATTCATAATCAACAAACTATAACACCCAGACAACCTGCAAATCTGTAAATGATAGTTAAGACTGTCTTCCATGCTCGAAATCATTATGTTTAAAACTGTAAAACAAGTGACATTATCAGGGGTAACACTCAGGCAATATGTACATCTGCATGTGAAGGTTAGACTGTATCCAAGTTTGAGGATAAAAAATACAGCTATTTTTCTCATGTAACACTATATATTGAAATCTGACCTTTAGCTTTGACCTTGGCACTTATTGAACTTAACACCCCAGCCAATATGACCATCTGTATATGATGATCGAATGTGTTCCGAGTTGAAAGTCAATCTACCAGACTTTAAGACTCATTAATTAACAATCTTTTCAAGGTAATGTGGGGCAGATGAAAACAAAGATGTATGTATGAAAAGACAAGGGTAACCATATAAACCCCCTCCTGCAGGAAATACAAAGGTTGAGATAAAGATTTGATAAGTTTGGGGGGGGACAGCTGAAGACCTAAGCATATATGAGTGAAACAGTTAGAGACAAAGCGAGACAACTGGAGATTCTGGGTGTAATGTTTGGGGAGGGGGGAGGGGGCACTAAAGAAAAGGGTTGTTTAAGTTAAGCAACTGAAGGTAATTATAAAAACATAAAATGGTTATCATGACTAAAGTATGCTGGAAATATCTTATGTTGGATGTATTCAACTTTCCGATATTAACTAATATGGTAAGCTCTCAATTATCTGTACGGTGCAATCAAATAACCGAAAGCATCAAATACCTGTCGAATGGTAATTATTGGTTAAAGAGTGTAATGTGGGAATGAACATAAGGGTTATGTCTATCTAAGGTTGGGAATGTTGCAAAAAGAAAATACCTTTGAAGGACGTTCACACTGAAGTAGAGACCAAGAGGCCATAACTCTCGAGAGTTAGAAAATACAGATGTAACAATACTTGTTATCACATTTCTCTGAGTTCTTATTATGATATATCAACATACACTACCAAATTTGATTAAAACCCACCGCTATCACGTACGTACTCACACACGGATGCACACACAGGTGCCAGTAACTTTTATATCCCTCTCTGTGTGGGCAGCAAGGGGCAACAAAAGCTATCAAAAGATTTTGCAAGACATACAGTGCATGGTAAAAGGCTTACTTCAATAATAATGTGTCTATGATACTATAAATGTACTGTAGTTGAAATATAAACAGAAAAGTCAGTCAACTTCCCAAACAATACTTACATGGGTCGTTTGCCTGCAAGCTTGGATGCAGCATCCATGAGGTATGCGGGGAGCCAGTGTTGCACAAGGACGGCGATGGTGTTGAGAGTCTTGTGCTGAGTGAAGCGCAGGTTTGGGTACCAGACCACATCATTCATGGCATTCCTTCGCAAGGCCGCCATCCCATGTTCATTTATCTCACCCCATCGCACCGGTCGCTCCATCCCCGACACACAGTTATAAACCGTCAGTTCACTTTGTCTGAGGAAATATTACATAATAATCAAGTGACACAGGCAATCATTTTTTACTGTCAATATAAATGCCTTTAGTTTACTCTACATAACTGCTAACTCAATATATGAGAAGACCACAGGAGAATTCTAAAACATATCCCCACAGTTATGGAGGAATTACTGTGCCTGTACAGGAATTTTACCAGTAAATAACACATTTGTATAACATTTTTAATTACAGTACTACTTGTGTCACATTTTCATGGTTTACCTGCGAGTAGCAGTGTGCCAAGCTGTTACTATAAGAAGGTTGATTGGAATATCGACAGGAATAAGATCAGCCACAAGTTCACCTCGGCAGTGGAGAGTACGCAGCATGCCCTTCCCAGCGCCTATGATCAGTCCAGTAGGGCCGTTGAGATTGTCAACCCAACCAGGTAGAGGTTCACGCCATGCTGCCGCAACTACACACAAGGACAACCTCAATATTTTGTTGTACATTGGGAAAATTACAGTTCAGCAGACATATCCAAAAAATTCAACAAAATCAAATATGATTTCAATATGAGTGATGTATAATACTTGTACTGTAATAATTTGTCAAATGGCTTTGTTTTGTATTTTCACAATTTCTAGTAATCGTTCTATAGTTTGATAACATTATGGGGCTTATACCACAACCTAGACCATAAACAAGTTTATATAAGAACAAAATATAATGGGGGTAAAGACTGCTGGTAAGCCAAAAAAAGAAAAAATTCCAGTGCCACAATGAGAGTACAGGTACAGGAAAAATTCAGAGAAGCCACACTGAAGGAGTTCAAAACCTAGATCACTTTGGGGGGCATTAGCCCACCCGGGCACAAGTCATTTTTAATGACCCTGGGGGGCGAAAATATAATAAAACAATAATAATGATGGTAATACTCCACCTACCAGACAGAAGGAGGTGAGCGCAGTGTAAACAATGACATTTCTAACCACACCCTGCAAAATACAGTGTACTTAGCAAATGCTGCAGCTTCTGAGAATGGAGGGAGGCCGGAGTTACTACTAAGAGCAGAGACATTACCGAGAACAAATTCTGGCTTGAATGTCATGTACATTAATACCGACACGTTCCTTGATAAGAGAGAGGATTTTGAAACACTACTGAAGGTACACCAACCCGATATTGTAGGAGTTGTAGAACTGTTGTACAAGCACAGGAGAATCGACCAAGGGGAATGAGAGTTCAGTATTGCTGGATGTGACTCGTTTACAAACCTTTCTCAAAAAACTTGCAAGAGGGGTGTGGTTATCTATGCTAGGCAAGACCTTAGAGCCAGCCAGGCTAGGGTACAGGGAGAGGATGTTTTTGTAGAGTCCAAGTGGTGTAAAATTAAATTAAAGGGAGGGGACTTACTTATCGTCGGGTGTATCTACAGATCCCCAAACTGTAGCCTACAAAACCAAAGGAACTTAAGAGACTTGATAGACAATGCAGCGATGCTCAACTCAACACATTACAGAGGGGAGCAAACACCCAAGCCACTAGACCTCATCATAACAAACGAAGAGGGTATGGTGGTCAAACTGAAACATCTAGCCCCAGTTGGCACCAGTCACAATGTTAAGTTGTCATTCCAATTTAACTGTTACCTTGTTCATGATAAAGCCAAGCCAAGGTGCAAATATTACAATGGAAATTACGACGGGATGAGGGGTATCCACTGGCCTGACTAATTTAAGGCACAAGAAAGGCAGACACTACACTGAATATCATAACTAGTAAAGTGACCCATTTGATCGATAAATATATACCCAAGACCAAACCCAGCGCCTCTAGGAATATGAGAGGGACCCCTACACATGAACCATGCGGCGGTCGACAAAGTTAAGAATAAAACCCAGAAATTCAAGACGTGGGTTAGGTCAAACAATGAGCAAGACAGGAGAATGTATGCAAGAACCAGAAACCAAGCAAAGTAGAGTGTAGAAGGGCTGAAAAGGAGTTCCAGAGGCTGGTTGCAAGTGAGGTCAAGTCAAACTCAAAGGCATTTTACCGCTATGCAAAGTCAAAATTAAAAACGTGAGTAGGAGTATCAGACCTGAGGCTTGAAGATGGTAGTTATGCAGATTCCGACCAGGATAAAGCCGAGGCATTGAACAGCTTCTTTTCCTCGGTGTTCACAAGAGAGGATGCAATTAACCTTCCTGCGTTTGAGAACAGACGGTTCGACACAGCACTGACCCACATTGTGTTCACAGAAGAGGGTATTAGAAATAAACTGTCAAAGCTAAAGGTCCATAAGAGTCCCGGCCCTGACATGGTGCATCCCAGAGTGCTAAGAGAGTTGTGCAATGAGCTTGCCGAGCCCCTGAAGATCCTGTTTTGAAAATGTCTGGATGAACAAAAGGTCTCCAGTGATTGGAAAATGGCTTATGCGAGTCCCATCTTCAAGAAGGGCGATCGTCACTCCATGAAAAACTATAGACCGGTGAGCCTAACCAGCATAGTAGGCAAAGTACTTCAGAGCATTATCAGAGATGCCGCAATGGAACATCTACTACGAAACAACCTTGTAGAGGATTGCCAACACGGTTTTATGCCGGGGCACTCCTGCTTAACACAATTGCTCAAGGTATTGGATATTTGGACCCATAATCTGGATCGGGGTGGTAATATCGACAATATATACCTAGATTTTACCAAGTCTTTTGACAGTGTACCCCATGAAAGGCTGAAAATCAAACTGGAAGGGTACAGAATTCGGGGAAATGTCCTAGCATGGATAGAAGACTTTCTGCATGACCGCAATCAGTGTGTGGTGGTTAATGGCACGAAATCATCATCTGTACCTGTCACGAGCGGGGTGCCACAGGGCAGTGTATTGGGCCCGCTGTTGTTTGCTTGTTTCATAAATGACATGCCTGACGCTGTACACTCCTCCATACAAATGTTTGCGGATGACGCCAAGTTATTTCGGGAAATCAAGAACCAAGTGGACTGTGAAGAGCTGCAGAAGGATCTCTGTAAGCTCCAAGAATGGTTGAAGAATTGGCTGCTGAGATTCAATGTCACGAAGTGCAAGAGGATGCACCTGGGGCGTACCAACCGTAAGTAGGCGTATCATATGTCCCAACGGGATGAAGAAACTGCACTATTTTAGACTGAATGTGAGAAGGACCTAGGTGTGTATGTTGACAATGAGCTGAAGTTCTCGGGCCATTGCAAGAAGAAGGCAAATCAGGGGAAAAAATTATTAGGTCTTATAAAAAGGATCGTTCAGACATCAAGAAGGTCCATCCCTCTTCACAATCTTCAAGAGTGAAGTGCTTCCCCATCTGGAGTACTGTCACCCCGTCTGGTCTCCGAGATATGCTAGGGGGTGTCAGTTGACTAAAAATTTTCAAAGGAGGGCCACCAGACAGGTGCCTGCACTTCAGCACCTCAGCTACCCTGAGAGATTGGAGCGCCTGAACTTGCCTAGCTTATACAACAGACGGGCAAGGGGCGACCTAATTGAGGTGTATAAGCATCTCAAGGGGCACTACTCAGTCGAGTGTCCTTAACTGGAGCTGGCAGACGCTCGCCCCACAAGGGGTCACAGCTCAAGGCTGAAGAAGCCTCAGGTCCAGAAAACTATGAGGGCAAACTTTTTCGGGGTGAGAATTGAGAACTCTTGGACCAATCTGCCAGAAAGTGTTGTAACGGCACCGAGTGTGAGCTCTTTCAAGACCAGACTTGACCAACACTGGAGCAGGTTCAAGTACATTCAGGAGCCGGTGCATGCCCAGTACTTGCCAACAGTGTGTAACAGATGTGACCAATCGCCCAAGTGACTAACGAGCCGATCAGTGGTGAAGAGGATAAAAGTAAAAGTAAAAAGTAAATAATAATAATACTAATAATAATAATAATAATAATAATAATAATAATAATAATAATAATAATAATAATAATAATAATGAAATTAATAAAAATAAATAATTATAATAAAAGAAAATAATACCAATAAAACTTTTAAGTAATATTAATAATGAGCAATAAATAAATACAAAAATTAAAAAATAAATCAAGATTAAGAAACAGTATGCAGTGTTGTCAAAGTAAGAGAAACAATTGAGACCCTGCAATTGTGTGTATATGAGGCAGAAAGTCAGATCAGTAACCTGGGACTTGGTCACAATTTTTGTGATGCCATATGGCAGCAGGGTCTACCATTAGACAACACATTGTTTCCAATATCTTCCCAGGCAGTAATACCTCCCTGTTTGGTAGCTGCCTACTACCTTGATTGCATTACAAGATCTTTCCACTGTGCCAACAGAAACTTGTATTAATGGCTTTTACACAGTAAATCAACTTTGAACACCTGAACAATAGTCAACTTGATAATCCCACCACCCTGTACCATGTGACTTACCTATGGACGGCCGAACAATGGCTAAGGGCAATGATCCAGCCTCTTGAACCAAGACATGCTCAGCTAAAGCCTTTGTGTACGTGTACGTGTTGGGCCGTGAACCAATCAGTCTGTAAAAGAGTTAACTAATGTTATCAATATGACAATTAAATAATTACCTGGAAAAATCTAAATTATGTGATAATTCTCAGCCTCGTAAAATAAGACGGTGATTACCAGTATGCATGAGACTGCAGTTAGGTGGGAGATGATGAGGCAGAAAGTATTACATTACAAGAATATAGAAGACAGTATGGTTTCCATTCACAAGGGGTCTATTTTATTGAAAACTTTGTGAGTATTAATTCATGCAAATTTAATAACAATTATGGGAAATGAGGAGATGAATTTCTGTATATCAACAGATTAATAAATCTCACTTTTATTAAATACATTAACACTATGTGGACTGAAGATATATAAACCTACTTGGGTGTGAGATGATTGAACGTCTCATCATCCATCCAGTCGACGAGTTGGATGAGTTTATAGGGATCGATGGGCGGAGGGTAGACCATCTCCTTCACCTCACCACGGTCACAGTTGCAATAGGCCGTAGATACATGGATCACTGCCTGAAGGGTAAGGTTGTAAGAGTCACTGTATCTGGTATGAAATGGCCTTAGGAAGAGATCAGTGCTGGTATCCCTTTATAAGGATGTATAAATCATAGGGAAAAATAACAAGTAAAGATCACAGGTAAAAATTCAGTGTAAAAGAGATCTCGCCAGGAAAGATGACCCAGGGACACACAAGTCATTATATAAATTAGATGATGCACATGAAAGATTTATGAGAAGAATGGTGCAAGGAATATTTAAGAAGAACACTGTAGGTTCAAAGACCACTCGGGAACAACAATAAAGGATTAAGGACCATTTAGGAAGAACAATGAAGGATCAAGGACCATTTAGGAAGAACAATGAAGGATCAAGGACCATTTAGGAAGAACAATGAAGGATTAAGGACCATTTAGGAAGAACAATGAAGGATTAAGGACCATTTAGGAAGAACAATGAAGGATTAAGGACCATTTAGGAAGAACAATGAAGGATCAAGGACCATTTAGGAAGAACAATGAAGGATTAAGGACCATTTAGGAAGAACAATGAAGGATTAAGGACCATTTAGGAAGAACAATGAAGGATTAAGGACCATTTAGGAAGAACAATGAAGGATTAAGGACCATTTAGGAAGAACAATGAAGGATTAAGGACAACTCAAGAAGAACACACAAGTAACACTACCTAGTGATGGACCAGTGAGGCAGAAGACAGATTCTCCTGTCACCTAATAAAGATAATACAGTATACAGAATAAAAACAAAAATAACAAGGAAATTAAAATGGTACTGTAGTAAAATTTCTGGTAAACTTTGGAAAAATCTTAACAAAAAGAAAAAAAGTATATAGCTATAGCATATATACATAAACTTGTACAGGTACTCTGAAACTTGGGAATATCTTTAACTTGCATTACAAAAAGTTCACTTGAAACTCAGATGGTGGGGGGGGGGAGGGTGGCGCTAAGGGCTTGGTGGTAGTCATAAAAAAAAATAAAAATTGATTAGTGTTTGCCGCCCAGAAGATTTAGTACAGATACAATACTAAATCATTACAGGCATCATACTCTAATGTACTAATGTTGTCTCCTTCACACCTCACCCTCCTAGTACTACTGCCTTCTACCCTACCCTCCTCTCTTACTACAGCCTCCCATCAATCATCACAACCACTACAACACTTACCACCAACTTGGTCATCTTGTGACAAAGCTCCACTAAGCGCTTTGTGCCCAGGACATTCATCTGGAGTGACAGTTTAAGTGCCTCATCAAATTTAACAGTGGCAGCGGCATGGAAGACGACAGAGACAGTGGAGGTGAGGGCGGCAGCATTGTCAACAGATATCCCGAGGCCCGGCAACATGATGTCACCCTCCACTGGCTTTAGCTTCCTCAACACCTCTGGTGACGTAGACCGCAGTTCATCAAACAGCTGTTAGTAAACAAATTGTCATTATTAAGAGTCGCATTCTTCATATTCAAGTTTATATTTTTTACGGCTGCAATACCTAAACCAGCGAACACATAGGCATTTTCACCACATACACAGTACAGTACTTCTGGTAATAATCCATAAGAAATTATAGCCATATTATGAATGCAAAATTGCATTAAGTTTACTAGAAAGACTCAAGTAAACTATTTAAACTTTAGCAGACGAAGTTGTCACAAGATTACGGTAAAGTATTTGATCCCATTAGACTGTACCCAAGTTTGATCAATTGTTTCGTCTTGCACTGTATACAGTACTGTAGAACATCAGTCACGGGTACACATAAATACTGTACAGTACGGTACTGTATTTTAATGAAAGTAGATATTGGAAGTATATAATTCAACCTGAGCCCACTGGTACACTTGTGACAATATGTCAACATAAATGTGAAGCTTCAGTCAAAAATGTACTGTATCTACACAAGAAAGTATGGATTGGGCAAGAAACCTCTACAATGCCCAGATTAAATTAGATATAAAGTACAATACTCTAAATTAAATAACTTTAAGACCAACAACAATAGTTCAGTGAGAGTGTGGACCAGTACAGTACAGTGTTAAGTTTCAACCTTCAGTTTTGCTATGGATCACACCCTAAAGACTAAGCACAATAAAACATATGATTTTAAACATAACATTTTCTGGCAAGCAGACCAGTGCATACTGTATATCATGCTGGTACACTACACACTACAGGTATTTCATTTAGATTTAGAAGTTACCGGAGTCCTGAGACCCTTCTGTATGACTCAGAACTTTCTTAACATCATGCCTGGAAATTCAAAGGCATTTCCTATTATCAGTATTGAAACTTTAATGGTATTTTTAATATTATTATTATTACTATTATTTTGTTTAATATTAAAATTACTCATACAATAATTATTAATATTAGTCGTACAGTACTGTAGTAGAATGAGTAATGTCACCATTTAAAAACAACAATTTCACCATTTGTCAACTTACTAGTCATTCAGACAATTGATCTATTCTTTGTTATGACCTTTACTGTCCAATGTTAGTACAGGAGGAAACTGTAGTACACAAAATAAAACCTGATAAGTTTGGTTGGCTCACACTGAAAAACACCCTTTACACATTGTCTCAGGCCGTTGATTGTCTACACTGGCGAGAGGCACCCGAGTTACCACTCTACCAACCTCTTATTTTTATAATGATCATAAATTAATTATTATTCCAAACACCTAATATTATTATAATAAAATAACTTCAATTCTTCTTATACTATGGTATAACTTATATTGCTTCGTTCTTAATATTATTACTGATGAGAGAAATAGTTAATGTAGACCATAATAGGCTACAAAATTCACATAACTAAGCAACAACCTCGGTCATTAAAAACTTATACGAGCCACCTGATATACACCAAGCACACAGTAATGGTTTAAACAATCACATGGCGACGTGAGGTGAATCGGCTAGTGAGACGGTGAGTACGTATGGGAAGTGAAGTGGGTGGCCATCCCTGGTACTCGAGCATCCGATTACTACATGAGAAAGTCGCTAAAGTGACCTTGAGTTCCTAGACTGGCCCACCCTCGACATGGCTCATACTGTTACTTTTTAATTATTGCTTCAGCTTTAGAAGAGTGACCCTTTATCCATCTGCTTTTAATAGTCTCAGTTCTGTTTAGTTATAATACCCCCCCAAAAAGAAGAGAAATGAAAAGCAACATGACTCGAGACGTCCGCCTATGGATAGAAAAAAAAATCAAGTTTGGACACACACTTAGACAATATAGGTGTAAGCAAAAGAGACGATGGCGTAACCTAGATTGAAAAAAAATAAATAAATAAAAATGCCTTTTCCCTTTCCACCTCGTACCAGACACGAGGCTGCCTATTTCGGCGGCGGTCACTAGACGGTTCCGGGTCGTGTACCTCCAAAAAAAGGTCCAGATCATAACCCACGACACGACCTCTACTCTACGGGTAGGTATACAATATGATGAACAACCAGCAGGGGGGTATAAGAAGCTCTACGATTATTAGTTCTGGATCACCCCAAGATTACATCCCTGCTAACTAAACCTGAAGATTAGCCACCCTAAACCCCAGGCAGCGTTAGGATGGTTGATCTTCAGGTCAATTAAGCTAGGATGTCTGTAGATAATCCCTAGTCTTTTATCCTGATTAATGTAACTCCATGTAACGTCTGTTTCTTGGACGATCATAATTACATTTATTATTTCAGATGTAAGATATCCACAGGCGTTTCTTACAGCAACTGGAGACGTAAGGTTGTACGCTACGAATAAAACATGAGGAAGAACAATGGTGAGTTGGTTAAAGTGTGTCATCCCTCCCTCACTCTCTCTCTCCACTAAGACTCACTGGAAAAACCGATAATACCCGCTACTTATTCTTCCCATCCTTCTTTTTACTTCACCTACAGGTTTTTCTTCTCCCAATTTCGAACTTTTAGCATTTTATCATATGCTGTAGGAGTGGTTTTTCTCATCGACAGTACTTGAATGTGATAATTATGATGTCTCCGCTGTGGTGGTGACACTGGAACAGCGGGTCTGAGCCCAAACTAAATAACTCCTTATAAGCAACAGGTGTGCTCAACATATACATCAAAGCACCAAGGTAATATATACAGTAAATGCTACATAAAACATATATCAAAGCACCAAGATATATAAATACGTGCTACATAGACGATAACTTTGGCTTTAAACCCGAAAACAAAAGCAGCACGAAAATAAGTACTTAGAAGAAAACGGACCTTGAGGACGACTTTCGAGGTGTTACTATTACATATTTCACATCCTTACCCACTGAAATGTAATTCCACAGGTCAGCTGAACCATCTCAGCGGATCTTCTTTATTAAAATCCATTGTGTAACGCATATTGGTAAATAATCAATTACAGAACAAATTACATTACTGTACATTTATTTTATTGTACGACTATGATTATTATACACGAAAGCGGTGCATGGGATGATAGCAGGCAGGTGAAGAAATATGATTGTCGGAAAAGCTGTATACAACATTCAGACTGTCGAAAAAAAGACAATCCTACAGGAACAACAGTAAAGGAACGTACAAAAATGACCAGAAGATATATTCCAATTGAAAACAGCCCAGCCTGGACACACTGGCGGCTGGATGTACAGTAGAGGGCACAGTGCATCCATCCACCCACCCACATAATGAGGTTTCTTCTTCATCATATCCCGCTTATGTACAATGCGACTCAAAAGGTCTTTCCTGAGAGGTGAGGGTCAGGCGTTAAGATGGACCTGGGACACTGGGTTCACCTCTCAAGCATTGCGATTGTTCCTTATGAAATGATAATTGGCACATCCGGGAAATTCAATAGCAACAGCAGCGGTAAAGGACACGTCAGGGACAAATGACTGGAGAGACTGTAAGGCAGAGACAACACCCACCTGTCGCACCTGCTGATAAGGGCGCCCACATCCTTACCTCCTCCACCTACCTGGGCTCAAGTTATGTACCCACTTTACCAACTACTGACCCCCCCACTACTACGACGACTAGAACACCTATTTACACTGTATCAACCAATGACATTCTGTTTTCCCTATAATGTATTAATGTCTCCAACATTGACAGCCATACTATAACACAGACTATCACTGGACATAGGGGCGGGGGGGGGGGGGATGTCCTCGCCCGATAGATAAACATATTCATGCAGACATTCTTCTTCTCCTCCTCCTCCTCTCCGTCCTCCCAAACATTCTCAAAACCTCTCGCGACAAAGTCTAGTTAACAATGGTCATGTGCAGTTCTGGTGTCATTTTGAGACTCGTTGTTTATATGGTAGTTCGAGAGGTCATGGCAAGAGTTCAAGGGTGAATGACACTGATGTTTATGTACACACACCAAGAAACATCCCTCCCTCCCTAGACCCACTGTACCCCTCCCACCTCCCTAGACCTACAGTACCCTCCTCTTCCCTCCCTAGACCTACTGTACCCCCCCTTCCCCCTAGACCTACTGTACCCCTTCCCCCTAGACCTACTACCTCCCTCCCTAGACCTACTGTACCCTCTTCCCTCCCTAGACCTACTGTACCTCTTCCCTCCCTAGACCTACTGTACCCCTTCTAGACCTACTGTACCCCCTCTTCCCTCCCCTAGACCCCCTACTGTACCCCCCTCTTCCCTCCCTAGACCTACTGTACCCCTTCCCTCCTAGACCTACTGCCCCCCCTCTTCCCTCCCTAGACCTACTGTACCCCTCTTCCCTCCCTAGACCTACTGCACCCCTCTTCCCTCCCCTAGACCTACTGTACCCCTCTTCCCCTCCCTAGACCTACTGTACCCCCTCTTCCCTCCTCCCTAGACCTACCCTGTACCCCCTCTTCCCTCCCTAGACCTACTGTACCCCTCTTTTCCCTCCCTAGACCCCGACTGTACCCTCCTCTTCCCTCCCTAGACCTACTGTACCCCCTCTTCCCTCCCTTAGACCTACTGTACCCCTCTTCCCTCCCTAGACCTACTGTAATCCCTCTCCCTCCCTTAGACCTACTGTACCCCCTCTTTCCCTCCCTAGACCTACTGTACCCCTCTTCCCCTCCCTAGACCTACTGTAGCCCCTCTTCCCCTCTCCTCCCTAGACCTACTGTACCCCTCCCCTTCCCTCCCTAGACCTACTGTACCCTCTTCCCCTCCCCTAGACCTACTGCACTCTTCCCTCCCTAGACCTACTGTACCCCTTCCCTCCCTAGACCTACTGTACCCCTCCCCCCTTCCCTCCTGACCTACTGTACCCCCCTCTTCCCTCCCTAGACCTACTGTACCCCTCTTCCCTCCCTAGACCTACCTGTACCCCTCTTCCCTCCCTAGACCTACTGTACCCCCTCTTCTCCCTCCTAGACCTACTGTACCCTCCCTTCCCCTCCCTAGACCCCATGTACCCCCCTCTTCCCCTCC